CCTTCTGCCCCTCTCTCTCTTTCTTCTTCTTCTGGGATCCCAATTATTCTAATGTTGTTTCATCTTATGGTATCACTTATCTCTCGAATTCTGCCATCGTGATCCAGTAGTTCTTTATCTCTGTTTTTCTCAGCTTCTTTATTTTCCATCATTTGTTCTTCTATATCACTGATTCTCCTGCCTCATTTATCCTAGCAGTTAGAGCCTCCATTTTTGATTGCACCTCATTAATAGCCTTTTTTATTTTGACTTGATTAGATTTTAGTTCTTTCATTTCTCCAGAAAGGGTTTCTCTAATAACTTCCATGCTTTTTTCAAGCCCAGATAGTATCTTTAAAATCATCATTTTGAACTCTATTTCCAACATCTTACTAATGTCCATATTGATTAGGTCCCTGGCTGTCGGTAGTGCCTCTTGTTCTTTTTTTGAGGTGGTTTTTTTCCGTCTTGTCATTTTGTCCAGAGGAGAATAGATTAATGAGAGAACAAAATGCTAACAGGGTAACAACATCCCCAGAAAATATACACTAAACAAATCAGAAAAGACCTGAAACCAGAGGGAAAGAAAGGGAAAGAAAGAAAGAAAAAAAAAAGGTAAAAACAAAGCAAAACAGAATATGATCAAATATGATCAGGCTGGTGCATAGATCAGTGCCACACACTAGATTTTGGGCATATTTTGGTCTGTTAGAAGAAAGTGCCTCCCAAAATTTTAAAGAAAGAAAAACTTATATATGTACAAAAATAAGGGTTAATATGATAAGGGATGGAATATGACTGTAAAGATGAAAGTTATAAAAGATTATATAAAAGGAATTGATAAGAAGTTGGTTGAAAAAAGAAAGAAGAGGATTTAAAAAAAAAAAAGAAAAAAGGGAGAGAATGTGATCAGGCAGAAGACTAGAACAAAGCCATACACTAGAGATTTAGGGTATATTTTGATCTGTTAGAAGAAACTGTATCTCAAAATTTTAAAGTGAGTACAACATATATATATGCCAAAAATAAGGGTAACTACTATGAAGGGATAGAATATGACTCTAAAAATGAA